GTGTTTTTCTTTTTAGTTCTATATTTTTGAACGCTGCAGCTATTTTTATAATTGTGTTTTATAGTTAGTATTTATTTATTTTTACCCACAAATTTACCACTTTCTTTCTCTTAATCCTTTTGGTATTTTAGACCTTCCATTTCATTTTCATTTCCTTTCACATAAAAGAGAAGATATTCAAAAGCTTTGAATTTCCTTTTGTGAGGTCCTGTTGGGGGCATACTTTCTCAGTTTTTGTTTGTCTAAAAAAGTCTGTATTTTCCTTTTGTTCTTGAAAGGTATTTTCACTGAGTAAAAAATGTAGATTGACAGTTTTCTCTCAGCATATTAAAGATGTCATTCCACCATCTTCTGGCTTCCATTGTACTTCTGAGAACTAATCTATAAATTAATTGTCACTCCTTTGAAGGCAATCTGGTTTGTCTTTCTTGATGCTTTTAAGATCTTGTCTTTGGTTTTATGTTCTTAGGTTACACTATTTTGCATCTAGTTTGGGGTTTTATTTATCTTCTGTTGGATCTGTTGGACTTCTTGAATCACAGATATCTTTAATTATTTCTTTAAAACTCTCTGCCATTATCTCTAACTATTGTCTCTGCCCCATTCCCTCTCTCACCTTTTCTTCTGTAACCCTAATTACCTTTATGCTCTACTTCCTCACTCTTTCTTCCATGTCTCTTAACTATTATTTCACATTTTTAATGTTTTATCTCTATGTTACAACACAGAGAATGTCTTTTCATTTTGCCAAGTGTTTTAACTCTACTAATTATCTCTTCAGCTGCATCTAGTCAGTGGCGAAGCCCATCCATTGAGTTTTAAATTTCATAGTATTTACTTCTGTAATTTATATTTTATTTCAATTCAGCTATGTTACTTTTTTTTGGCAATTTCCTGGTCCCTTTATTATTTTCGTGTTTTTAAAAATATCTTTAATAATTGTAAAAATAGTTATTATAAATTTTGTATCTAATAACTCCAATATCTGAAATCTTTGCTGAGTAATTTCTGCTGTGAGATGTTTCTCCTGGTTTTTTCTTATGGTATTTTGCTTCCTTATATGCTTAGTGATTTTTGAGTGGGATATCTTATTTTCCTTTCAAAAAGGATTTTTTGGAATTCTCTGAAGTTTACTTGGAAGGTATGTTCTTCTACATAGAATTTGTATGTATTTCTGCCCGGCCTCTGGGATGTCGAGGTAGTTTAATTCCACTCTAAACAAATTTGTTTGAGGTTAGGGGGCCACCCATCTTAATGCTAATTTGGATTGCAAATCTATATGAGGGCCAGCTTGTGGTTATAGTTTCTCAAGAATTTTTTTGCCCGTACTTCTCTGCTAAGAGCTAAGATATATTTTTCTTAAAATTTCCTGGGGATGAGATTGTGGGGTACTTTTATATATGGTATACCCTTACACTGAAGAAGCTGTGAAACAAGAATCTCAAATTCTCCAAGTTTGGTAAATGCCCTCAGGGAAAAAGTAGTTTCATTGGTCACTTTACTGGGGTTTTTCCCCCCTAGATTTTGGCCTGATAAATCCTATTGTGGTTGCCTTTGATGTTTTTAAGATATTTTTACATTTTTTCAAGCATTTTTAGTTTTCTTAAACAGGCATATCAGTCTGGATACCTAACTAGCCACATTATTGGAATATTTATTTTTCTCTACGCCATTATTTTGTAGTATATATCTCAGAACACCTGTATCAGAATCACCTAGAGGTGTTTATTAAAATTTCAGATTCTGGTAGCCAGCCTCAGGCTTATTGAAACAGAATCTTTAGGATGGGGCCCTAGTATCTGAATTTTTGTGAGGTTCTTTAAGTGATCCTAACGCATACAGAAGTTTGCTTTTATTTGTAATTTGAAGTCTCATAAATGGTATTTTTTTATTGTAGGAGCCTGAGATCTAAATTTAGTGTTTTCTATACTTGTCTTAGCACCATATATTGAGCAATCCGTTATTTTCACATCTATTTCATGTACCAACTTTTATCACATAGTAAATATATATGTGTGTGTGTGCATGTACATCTGTTTCTAGCCTTTCTATTTTGGTCCATTGAGCTGCCTATTCTTTGTACAATACCATACTGTTTTAATTATTGTAGCTTTATGATGTGTTTTACTACACATGGTATGAATACTTCCAGGCACAAGGGAGCTCTGTTTCCTAACTTTGATCAAAATTATTGCCTATAATACTCATTTTTACTTGGTAAATCTTACTGAATCACAGACTGTAAAAGCTGGAAGCCACCTAAAGTGGTCATATTGTCTGTCTCTGTCATTTTACCAAAGACAAAAACGAACCCTAGAGTACGGGAATGACTTGTCCATAGTGACCTAAAGATTTAATTGCTGAGGTAAACTCAAGAAATATTTTTTGTATTTTAGATCTCTTTCTATCACTATTGTCTGCTGTATCATTATTCCATTGTATTTAAATTTTATTTTCATTGGTTTGGGCCTAGTTTTTTTTGTTTTAAAGTAGATTGGAAGTTCCTTAAAGGCAGCACCCATGTCTAAAGATTTTTTTGTACAATTCATAGCCTTAATATTGTGCTTTGTGCTTATTAGGCACCTAATCAATATTAATAGATGTTGGTAAAAAACAAGTTGTTCCGTTAACCAGATGTCAAATTGGGGCTATTTCCTTGTGGGCGTCACTGTTATAACTGTATGGAAAGTGGCATCTAGTGGTTCGTGTGTGTATTACAATTGCCTTTTTTTTCAACCCCTGAGTAGCAGAGTCATTATCATAACCTAAGTGGAATAAATAGAATATAAATTAAATTTTTAAATTGATTTCAAACAAATTATTTTGTAATTACCAAATGTTTTGAGTAGTGATTTCTTTATAACTACATGTTAAGTAATAAAGAATTGCAAAAGATGAAATTGCTAATTTTTAAGAAAAGTATTGTATAAAATTACTTCAAAAATGACATGCAAGAGTATTTAAAGCTTTATTGTTTATTTATAAATGATATTAGGAGTTGGAGGATATTGTTGGATATTGAGAAGTCAGAAATACAATTATAAAGAAAAGTCACGTAATGTCTTCTCCATGTTAATGAAGTCCTCTTAGGCTATTGCTTTGCATTACTCTCAGGAGCTTAATTTGTATTTTAGAAAGGAAGATCTCTTAATGACAGATGAAAATGGAAAGTCACACCATCTTTGACATATAACACCAAAAAACTATGAACATGTATTTACATATAAAGTGCAGACATACATTCCAAAGTCAAATGTTAATTATTCTTAGATTTACAGCCATTTTGGTTCATCACTATTCTTTACTCCTCCATTAATGCATGTAATTGAGTGTTGATATTATGTACAATCTAATTCAGTGAATATGACCATTGACAGTTTTTATCTTGTGAATCAATATCTTGTAAAATTTGTACTTTGGAATCTAGAATTCACGTTTGCACAAAACAATGTTATATATCTTAAATTAATCTCTGTTCCTGAAACACTATAGTGTAATTTTTGTGTATGGGATTGTCCTTCCCATTAGAGAACAATACTGTACTGTCTTTGTATCTGTCCCTGCACCTAATATAACATTGTGGCTGGCACATAACAGGTGATCAATAAGTATTTGTTGAATTCGTTATATATGTTAGAAAGAGTTATGTCTTATTCATCTTTAGTGCCTAACAAGTTTTCTGGCCTCTAATAATGCTCAGTTTATGTTTGATGAGTGTATAAGTCTGAGTAAGTTGATTTAACCTGTTATGTAGTTGACATATAATACTAAAACCAAAGTGTAGAACCTAATCACCTATGTATAATAAATAATGGCTGCATAAGAGACTTTCAGTTGGATATGTCAGGAGCACATCTTTTACTGGAACAGCCTCTCGCAATGAGAGTGAGAGATTTCCCCCAACATCAAGCCATTGTTGTTTACTCTTATAATCAGGAAAAGGAGTTCCAGCATGAGGGTGGCTTCTAGTTGCAGCTGAGTTGGTTAGAAGTTCTGACTAGAAGGATGAGGTCAGTACTTTGATAAGGATTGGAGAAAATACTCTGGTAGAAATTGGAGTAAAGGAAAGCATAGAATATTCGGAAGGAGGCTAAGGTACTTTTTAAGTACCAGGCTTTCAAGGCTGAGCATTGATAAACATTGTTTGGCGTTTACATCACATAAAAGTTTCTCTTATTTCATGAGAGGCATACCACCTTATTGTACATAAATGCTGAGCTATCTACATATGTTGAACTAATTACTATTTGTTTTTCTAAGCAGTTCATCTTAATGCCAGGTTAAAGGATAGTTCTGGATGGCAGAAGTCATCTACTGTCTTCTTGTCCTATAGGTTCTTATTTAGAGGAAGATATTTTTCTGGCTTCAGGACCTCAGTTTCTAATATGAGTGAACGAACTTGTTAGTAGTGGCTATTTAGAACATCTAGGCTGTGGGAACAGCACTTGTGATAAAACTTGGAGCTGTTAGAGACTGAGCTACTAGTGATGAGAGAGTGGGAGCAAAGAAAAGAAAGGTGGTAAAAGATAGTATTATGTATTTTATTCTGTGATTGCTCATGAATGCAGAGAAGCAAGCGACTTTAGTGGCAGGCATCCTTGGCTAGTTGCCAAGGTCATTGCTAATATAGATTGAGAGGTAATTTATTACAAATGATGTTAGGAGAAAAAAAGGAATTCCTAAGAGCTTGGACAAGTGGCAAATGTATTACAGGGAAGATGTATGAATTTCTTACATCTTTTTAAAAAGATACTTTTCACTTTAAAATTATAAAAATTACATTTGCTCATTGTCAAAAGTTCAAACAGAAATATATACAGTAAAAGGTGAAAGCTTCCCCAGAGGGAATCATTATTTGCAACTGGGTATATATCCTTTCAGATATTTTTCTGGTATTTGTTTTACATGTTTGGATTGTTGAATTTAGTTGAGCTGTAAGACAAAGTCTGCTTTTGAGGTTCATGTTTAATGATTTTCCTCCCTCTTTCTCTTCCTTATAGGCTTGCTATGGATGTTCTCCAGGATCAAAGTGTGACTGTAGTGGTATAAAAGGAGAAAAGGTAAGATCTGAGATGGGCCTTGAAAAAACTTAGTAAAACCAATAAAATGGTGTTTTCAATATGTTTTTTATGCCAAGGGCTTTTACCTTGGCATCTCAGTAAGTAAAATGAATTCTACTATACTGCTTATTTTAGATAGCTGTAAGAATTAGACTATATATCTCAGGGATCAGCAAACATTTTCTGTAAAAGGCCATATAGTAAATATTTTAGGTTTGGTGGGCCACATAAGATCTCTGTGACATATTTTTCTCTCTTTTGTTTTATTTATTTATTTTTTTAAGATTTTCTTTTTTTGCTGAGGAATATTTGCCCTGAGCTAACATCTGTGCCAGTCTTCCTCTATTTTTTTGTATGTGGGACACCTCCACAGCATGGCTGGTGAGTGGAGTAGGTCCACACCCTGGGTCCGAACCTGTGAATCTGGGCTGCTGAAGCAGAGTGCACGGAACTTTAACCACTCAGCCACAGGGCTGGGCCTCTCTGTTTTCTTTTTTTAATAGCCCTTTAAATGTGTGAAAAAAACATTCTTAGCTCTTGGACTATACAAAACAGGCTTCTGACTGCATTTGCCCTAAGACCTGTAGTCTGCCAACCTCTGATCAATCTTATTGAAATCACTGATTTGATAGGCAAAAGAAGAGAAATAAACACTTAAAAAGAAACCAAGCATTTATCAGGCTACTAATCTGTACTGGATACTATGCTAGGCAATTTCATGTATTTTTATCTAGTCCATTTAAGTTAATGATTGGTGAATCTCTATTTTTATCTCACTTTTTTCACAGCTGCACCCCTATTGTATAGATATGATGATTACAAAGTATGTATTGGTGACAATTAAATAGCATAAACCTAGCCACTATGAGTCGGTAACTGACATTGAAATTAGAAGATTAAAAAGGGATAGTGAATTGTGGCCTAAAGAGAGTTATACTAGGAGAAAGGGGATCATACTCTAGTCTCCACTCTTTGAGGCTCAATAAATATTTTTGAATGAATCAGTGAATGTTATTAATTATATATGAAAAAGTTTGGGACAGTATCGCAAGAGTGTGTTCCATTTAGGAATATAGAAGGTCCACTAGCATATTAAAGATGTTTAAAAGTTCTAGAGTAAAGAAATGTATTTGTTTGTTTTTCAGTGCTATAATTACAAGCTCCATTTGACCATGTAACTCACTTTCCTCCTAATAAAACACATATTAATAATAATTGAATAGTGTTTTTCAGAACACCTATTTGAGTAACATTTAGTTTGAGGGGAGTAGTTTTACAGTGAGGGTGCTTTCTGTAGTGGTAAAAAGACTAAGAGGGATTCATTTCTGATATTTGTGGAGTGATTTTTATTAGATTAACTCTTCTTGAGATAAGTAAACATTCTGGAAAAAATATAACAGCTATTTAATAGCACAGGAGAGTGACCAAAAGGAGGAAAAAAGTAGACAGGGTTCTACCCTTGAAAGAAAAGAAGTACACCAGACAAGTTTGCATTTATGTGGGTTTTCTTCTGAGTGCACTTTTCAGTTTGCATGGCAAAGGATGGCTAGAAACCCAGACAAAACGCCAAAATCTTACCAGATTGAAAGGTCAGAGGACAGAGTTGAGGATGCCAGAATGGCTAGAAAGTGATGGGGGATATGCTGGAATGGACAGAGCCACAGAGGGGAGAGCCCAAAAATCTGCTTGTAATTTCTACCCAAATTCTTGATTGAATCCTGAACTTTATATGTACAGGGCAGAATTCATACAACCCAGCCAAAAGGAACAGCTGGAAGGCTATAACTGAACAGAGTTAACTGCTGTCCATTGAAGAAAAACAGAGTTTTAAGTTTTAGTTCAGCTGAGTTAACTATTTCCTAAAACAAAAGTTCAATACTCTTCAGAGGAAGGTAAAAGAATTCAGGATGTCTACATATTAACTACAGTGTCCAATATGCAATTAAAACTTACTAGACATGAGAACAGTTAAAAGTGACCCATAGTCAAGAAGGAGACCAATCAATGAAAACTAACTCTGAAATAATGCAGATGTTACAATTTTTAGACAAAGATTTAAAGCAGATAGAATAAATATATTTGTTGATTTAAAGGGAAATCTGCTCATAATAAGTGAACAGATAGAGAATCACAATAGAACACTGGAAACTGTAAAAAAAAAAAAAAAGGAGGAAAATCTATATTTGAAAAAGCAAAATATAAGAAAGAACAATTCGCCAGATGGAGTTTTAACAGCAGAATGGAGACGACTGAAGAACAGGTCAGTGAATTTAAAGATAAATCAGAAGAAAGATCCAATCTGAAGAACAAAGAGAGAAAAATGAAAAAACAAAAAAAAGAATAGAGCCTCAGTGACTTGTGGGACAATATCAAATGTTTTAATACAAATGTAAATTGAGTCCCATAGGGACAGGAGAGAAAAAACAGGGGAGTAAAAAGAATAATAATTAATAGGACAGTAGTAATGGCAAGAATGTCCCACATTTGGTGAAAAATATAAATTTACAGATATAAGAAGTTCAGCACACACCAAGCAGGATAAATACAAAGAAAACTACACCTAGGCACATCATAATGAATCTACTGAGAAAACAGAGATTAAAAGGAAATCTTGGAAGAAGCTAGAGAAAAAAATACACATTACACACAGGGGCACAGCGATATGAGTGATGATAGACTTCTTATCAGAAAGAATGGATACTGTACAACAGTGTAAAAACATCATTACACAATTGAAAAAATATGCAAACACAATTATATACAGTGAAAATATACATCAAAAATAAAAGGAAATGGAAGACATTTTCTGATAATAAAAAAATGAGAGAATTCTTCACCAGTATACCCACATTAAAAGAAATATAAAGAAATGTCTTCGGGCTAAAGGGAAATGTCACTGGATGGAAGTGTGGACTTACAGGAAGGAATTAAAAGGGCTAGAAATGATGTATATGTGGGTAAATATAAAAGACAATATCTTGGGCCGGCTCCGTGGCTTAGCGGTTAAGTGCGCACGCGCTGATGCTGGCGGCCCGGGTTCGGATCCCGGGAGCGCCCCGAGGCACCACTTCTCCGTCCAACGTGAGGCCGAGTCCCACGTACAGCAACTAGAAGGATGTGAACCTATGACATACAACTATCTACTGGAGCTTTGGGGGGAAAAAAACTGAATAAATAAAATCTTTAAAAAAAAAAAAAAGACAATATCTTTTTTCCTCTCAATTTATTTAAAAGACAAAAGGCTGTTTAAAGCATAACAACAGAGCTTCAAAATACTGAAGCCAAAACTGACAGAATTAAAGAGAGAAATAAACAAATCCATAATTATAGTTATAGATCCTAACACTCTTCTCTCAGCCATTGATAGAACAACTAGAAAAAAAATCAGTAAAGGCATAGATGATTTGAATTCCACTATTAACAACCTAGACCTAACTGACGTATAGAGTCCTACATCCAACAACGAAAATATACAGTTTTTTTCCAAGGGCATACGGAATTTTCTCCAAGATAGACCATATAATGAGCCATAAAGTGAAACCCTATAAATACCAAAAGATTGAAAACATCAGTATATATTCTCTGACCACATGGAATGAATAAAAAATCAATACCAATAAGATATGTAGAAAATCTCTAACTATTTGGAAATTAGAAAGCATTGTTCTAAATAACTGATAGTCCAAGGAAGAAATCACAAGGAAAATTAGAAAATATTTCAAGTTGCATAATGGTTAAAATGCAACATACTGAGAATTGTGGGATGAAGTTAAAGCAAGGCTTAGTGGGAAATAGCTTTAAATGCCTGTGTTGTACAAAAGGAAAAATTAAAATCAGTGATCTAAGTTTCCCACTTAAGAAGCTAGAAAATGGCAAGTAAATTAAATTTAAAATGAGAAAAAGTAGGGAATAATAAAGGTAAAAGTAGAAATATATGAACTAGAAAACAATAGAAAAAACTTACACAGCCAAAAGGTGGTAATTGATAGTTAGCATGACTGATAAGAAAATAGAGAGACAGCACAAATTACCAATACCAGGAATGATCCTACAGACATTAAAAGATTAATAAGGGAATATTATGAACAACTTTATAACAATAAATTTGACAACTTAGATGAGATGGACAAATAACTTGAGAAACATACATTACCTAAAACCAATCAACTAACTAAATGCAACAAAATATGAATAGTCCGATATCAACTAAGGAAATTGAATTATCAAAGCCTCCCCACACACATGAAAAAATTCCAGCCCAGAGGTTTTCACCGGTGCATTACATGAAACATTTGTGTAAGAAACAGTATCAAACTTGCATAAAATCTTTCAGAAAATAGAGGGATAAGGACTGGTGCCCAACTAACTTTATGAATTATGCCCTGAAACCCAAACCAGACAAAGACAAAATTACAAAATCAGAAAACTACAGCTTAGTATTCTTCATTAACATTGATGCAGAAATCCTTAACAAAATTTTAGCAAATGAGATCCAATGGCACATAAAGTGGATAATATGTTATTGCCAAGTGGGATTTATGCCAGAAATGCATGGTTGGTTTAACATTTGAAAATGAAAAATTGTAATTCAACATATTAAAAGACAAGAAAATTAAAAACATAAATAAGCCTACCATATAATTATCTCAGTAAATACAGAGAAAGCATTTAACAAAATTCATCATCCATTTCTGATAAAAACTTTATGAAAACTGGGAATAGAAAGGATTTCCTTGACCTTAAGGGGCATTTACCAAGCCCTTCTAGCTAAAATTATAGTCAATGGAGAAAGACTACATTCCTTTCTCTTAAGATCAGGAACATGTCTGCTCTCACCACTTCTATTCAACATTGCCAGTACAGTAATACAAGGGAAAAAAACAAGGAAAAGCATCCAGACTGAAAGAGAAGAAGTAAAACTGTCTCTTTTTTTTATAGATGACATAATCTGTCAATGTAGAAAATTCTATAGACAATACTAAAATGCTCCTAAAACTTGT